CTTCCTCTTGCAGCCACCCCCCCACACACACACACACTTCCTGGTTTCTCTGCAAACTCCTCCCCCTATCCCCCCCAGGAAGTGACACAAGGGTCTGGGGAGGGGGGGGGGGGTCCCCCCCCCCCCCCCCCCCCAGCTGGGGTAACTGGGGGGGCAATGGGGACAGAAAGGGCAGGAACTAGGGGCAAAGGAAGGTGCTTGGGGATGTGGGGGTCAAAGGTGTATTTGGGGGGATGTGGGGGCAAAAGGGGTATTTGGGTGTAAAGGGAGGTCACTTAGGGCATTAGGGGGAATGGGGGGTACTTGGGGTAAGGAGGGGGGTGTTTGGAAGTATTGGACTAAAGGGACAGTTGGGGTGTTTGGGGGTAAAGGAGGGGTACTTTGGGGTGTACTGGGGTAAGAAGCGGTGTTTGAGGTAACCGGGGTAGTTGGGGACATATAGGAGTAAATTATCCTCTCCTCCCCCACTTCCGCCTCGAGGCCCTTAAGGAACTTCCTGCTTCTAGATTCCTGCCCTCCCTGCTCGCCACCTGGGTCTCTTGGCAGGGGGTGGGGGGGCTGCCTCGTGCCAGACTGGCCCTCCCAAACACCTGGGTTCCTTGGATGGGGGGTTATGACCCTACTAGACCTGGCTGCCCCTCCCCCTGCAACTTTTAGGACACCTGGGTTCCTGGGAGAGGGGGCCACGGTGGAAAGAACCCAGGCATCCCAGCCCCCCCCCACATCCCCTGGGTCCCGCCCACCTAACAAGCTTTGACCTTTTTTGGGGGTTTCGGGCCCAATCTGCAGCTGGGTGTGGCCAGGCCCCTCCCTCCCCCCCTTTCCCCCCAGGTGGAGGTTTGGGGAGTCCCCAGATCTCCCCCTTTATGGGGGCTTGAGCCCCCCAGGCTAGATGCCCGGGTTCTTTCCCCAGAGCTGGGAGTTTGCTGGGAGCCAGGATGCCTGGGTTCTCGTTCCTGCCTCCCACTCCCACCCCCAACCCCCGTGGAGCCCAGATGCCTGGGTTCTTTCACTTTCTCTTAATGCTGAAATATGCCCCAACTGCAGCCTC